AAGCGCATTCAAGTGTCCAACAAAAATATTTGTTTGGTAAGTATGGTTCAACAGGGACTAGGAAAGCCTCAGGGCCTTCTCGGAGCCTTGGGTCGAAGTGGAGAAAGCGTCGAGCGGGAGCGTCGTTGTTTGTCGGGGGTCTTGAGGCGGGAGCGCAGGTCCCGAGGTGAAAAGGTAGGGAAGCATCGAGCGGGAGCGCCGACGCCGCTGGAAAGGCAGTTCCAGGGCCAAGCAGAAGCCCCGGCCCCGAGTGAGAAAGGAGGAAGTATCGAGCCATCGATTTGTTGTTGTTGTTGTTGTTGTTGTTGGTGTTGTTGTTGTTGTTGTTGTTGTTGGGGGGGGCGGCGGCTTCGGCAGGAACCCCGACGCGCCTGAGCGCGAGCTTAAGTTTCAAAGGAAACGCAGCCAGCGCCTAAGCGCGAGCGCGAACGCGCATTCAGGGTATCAAACAATAACAGTTGTTCAGTAGGTAAGATCCATCAACAATAATTGTAAGACTGTTCGCTCTTATCTGTTCGCGTGCCATTCAACACGTACATCCCCAACGTTCGACACTCGCCTTCGTCGTCGTTTGACCGTACCCCCTTAGAGGTAGATCTTTCTTACATGCAACGCGCATGTCGCGCAGCCCTAAGGCAGTGGAAGAGCCGACGGATGGAAGGAAAGGACAGGGGGGAGGGAGGAGCATGGAGCACGAATGAGAATTGCAGGAGGGGGGCTTAGGAGCAGAAAACCCGTGACAGAACCGGACGGGCAAATCGGGCAGGCAGACTTTGTCGGGCGGGTCGGGAAGGCGGGCCAAGGCGGCCAGGTCGAGCAGGCGGGTTGCTGAAGCGTGCGTATTGCGTGAATCGCGAGGAAGTCTCGAGCAACAGCGCGATTCCAAAATAAATCGTCCGGAAATCCACAACGAGAGCGTGATTGTTGAGTCAGGTCCTGAGTGTCGGGGGCGCGGCGTCTGAACAAATTGCGAGGAGCTCCCGCACTAGAGCGCGATTCGTGTGTAATTTGTGAGGAGGCCCCGCGCAAGGGCACGATTTAGGATTAGATTGAAATATCAGATGGGAGCCGTAGCTCGGGGCCCAACATCACAGTTTGGTGGCACCCAGCTTTCCCTTTTAAACAACCTGGCGCGAGCCTTGGGAGAAGCACTTGAATTGGAAAATGAATTGGTTACCGGGGAGGGGGGACCAACGACAATGATTATTTAGAAATGGGAATTCAACAACAACAACAACAAGAAGAAGAAGAAGAACAACAACAACAACAACAGCAAAAACAACAATAACCATAATAACAGCAACAACAACAACAACAACAACAACAACAACCACAACCACAACCACAACCACAACCACAACAACAACAACAACAACATGAGAAGCAGAAACAACCGAAACACAAGCATTTAACGAAACACGCTGTTTGGCGTAGAAAGCCCGGAAAACAGAGCCGCGGAGCCGCGCGGCTGGCCCCTCAGAAGGAGATCGGCCATGCCAGGACGCATACACGAGGACCCACCCGAGGAGATCAACCATGCCAGGGCGCATACACGGGCGCCAGCGGCGAGAGCGGGGGAAGGCGACGCTGACGAAGAGGCACGCCGACAGGCCAGTGCGACAGCAGAGGCAGAGCGGAGACAGGAGGGCACAGGCAGAGCGGAGCCAGGAGGGCAGGCGAGGGCGAGAAGCAAGGCAGGCCCAGACCCAGGCCCCCTGGCGTCGTACACAAAGAAACATCAACAACAACAACAACAACAACAACAACAACAACAACAACAACAACAACAACAACAACAACAACAACAACAATTACTAGCACGTGGGGACACTCCGTTCTCACCAGTGCCAGGGTTTTCATAGGAGGCGGGCAATACCCCCACTTTGTGGGGGGGCCGGTTCAAGCTCTACCAAATTTCCAAACGACTCTTCGCCACCACCCACACCCAGCTTCCCGCCCTATGACGTTCGGACACTTCACTTCGTGGCATGCGGACGACCGTGGCTACTATTCAGGGCCCCGCGGCCGACGACGACGGCGTGCGCGCGCGAAGAAAAAACGAATGTGTCCCGCATGGTATTATTTGACAGGGATGATGGCCCTGGCAGGTGCGCAACCGTTGTTGCAGAAGTTCGAAAAAGTTGCTCGCAAAAGCCCGTTTGACAGAAATGTTTAAAAAGTGTTGGGTTTCCTACGAATCCGCAAGAGCGCGCGGGATGAAATTTTGACAATTTTGTTTTGAAAAACCATTGGTTTTTTGATGTTTTTATGTTAAAATCGCTACGAAAACTAAGGTTTTGGAAGGATTTCGTCTTGCGCGCGCGAATGTCCACTTTACCTTATTTTTTGCAAGGGATTCTTGAAGTTTGGTTATGTTAGAACAAGAAATGTCCACTTTAGCTTATTTTTTGCAAGGGAAAACCGATCGTAACAACACAACCGGATCCGGACCAACCCGTTTTGCCTGAGACTTCCTCACGAAAATGATGAAAACGTGGCTGCGGCCTAGGCGCGGCGGGGGGGTCGTGCACCAGGGGCCCCAACAATAATTATTCTTTAGAAGTAATAATGTTCAACAAAAATGGCGGGAGGTTTTCCGCTATGTTCTGCCTCCGGGGGCCTTTTCCGGGCCCCGGGATTGTCAAAAAACGATTCGGGATGAAAAACCGGTCCCGGGGGAGGTTTCCAGACCTCGAGGGGTCGACGTTGCGAAAAAAACATGATGTGAAAACATCACGACGTCGGGGGCGTTTGGGGAGAGCACAGTGTCGAGCATTGGGTGACTTTTGGTGCGGGCCCAATAGGATCACCCGATCGCCGAACGCGATGTGGTAGTAAGTACAGTCTTGCGCGCTTGGGTTTGGTCCCCCCGCGGCCCCCTACCCAGGGTCACTCTTGCGTGTAACCGAACAGCTTGGCATCGCCTGGACGTGTGCAGTTTTCCTCGACGGGGACATTCGAGGAGAATGGTGGGTCATATTGCGAAGAAATGCACGCACGAAGCCGAAAAATGTGCGGGGAATGGCCGTCCGAGCGATGGCGAGACACTTTCGAGCATAGGCGAGGACAGGCGGCAAGGAAACACACACGCACCAGCGCGCAAGCGCAAGCGCATGGTTTCCTCCGCTGGCGACGCGGCACCCTGTCGCGGTCGAACAAGGACGGGCCACATCGCTCATGGCCTACTCGCGCGCACTTGCACGCGCAGCAAAAAAAGAGGCCCCCCGAGGGTCGAGAGCGGCGAGCGAGGGGTAAGTGAGAAGCAGATGGCCTTCTCAGAAGGCGGCGGGATTTCTCAGAAGCCCCCCCGCCTCCTGAGAGGCTTTTCCTGCGCCTTCGGGCAAGGCTCGAAAAACCTTTCAGAACGCTGGGGGGCTTCCGAGCCTTCTGAGAAGCCTTCCTTCTCACTTCCCCCCCTCGCTCGCCGCCAAGAGTCTGGCAGGAGGGAGGGTCGGCGTCGGCGTGCAGCAGCCGCTCTCCCCCCACACCCTGACATCCGCCGATCGCTCCCTCGGGGGTAATTACTCTTGCGCCACGGAGTCGGGCGTTGCGTGATGGGGGGGGCGATGAACGCAGTCCCCCTTGGGTCATGAAAGAATCATGACATCGGGAATCATGACATCTGGGGTCTGGGAATTGGGGGCAGGGGGTGACGAAAGCTTCACCCTCTGTGCTCTAAAAGGGCCCCCTGCCCACTCGTTGCCCCCGGACGGCCCCCGCGGCCGAGACCGAGGAGAAGCGCGTCGCGTTGCGCTGCGTCGCGCCCGATCGAACCAGTCGACCCTATGCCGAGCTCGGGCGCAGAAGCAATGAGCGGTCGGAGCTGCACGTCGTCAAGCCAGCGACGCCGAGGCCGGCCTCGCGTACCACGCGGCTGGCCTCTTGCACGATGCGTCAGAGCCAACGATGCACCAGGAAAAACGCCCAGATGGAGCATGAACCCGGCGCGACCCCAACCAGGGGAAGGTTTCCTAAGCGGCGTTGCTTAGAATTGTTTGGCATTGCATTGCTTTGCAGTGTAATGCATTGCATTGCTTGGCATTGCTTTGCATTGCTTGGTGTTGCTTGGCATTGCTGGACAATGATTTGCACTGGTTGCCATTGCTAGACATTGCTTTGCGTTGGTTGGCATTGCTTGGCATTGCTTGGCATCGCTTTGCATCGTTTGGCATTGCTTGGCGCTGCTTGGCGTTGCGTAGCATTGCTTGGCGCTGCTTGGCGTTGCGTGGCGTTGCTTGGCATTGCTTGACGTTGTTTGACGTTGCTTGGCATTGTTTGGCGTTGTTTTGCATTGCTTGGCGTTGCGTGGCGTTGTTTGGCATTGTTTGGCATTGCTTTGCACTGCTTTGATCTGCTTGGCGTTGCTTGGCGTTGCTTGGCGTTGCCTGGTGTTGCCTGGCATTGCTGGGAAACAAGACCAACAACCAGGGCGGGGAACCCGAGGAACCGAGGGAACCAGAGGAACCGAGGAACGGGTAACGTAAGAATACGAGGCAACTGGGGCGGGGAACCCGAGGAACCTCCGAGGAACGGGCAACGTAAGAATACGAGGCACCTGGGGCAGGGAACCCGAGGAACCCGGAGAACCCGAGGAACCTCCAGGGAATGGGCACAGTAAGAATACAAGGCACCGGGGGCGGGGAACCCAGGGAACCCGAGGAACCTCAGGGGAACGGGCAACGTAAGCCCCCGAGGCACCCAAACTTTAGCCAAGTAACAACCCTTCAGGCAAGCCGAATTGGGGAAAGAACATTTTGTCAGAGATCATGTGTCGCGATTTGTTCGAGACACGTGCCCCGTACTTCTCGTCCCCTTCCCTGGGACCAGCGTTTCATCCCGAGCCGTTTTGTGGACGGCCCCGAGGCCCCGTGAGGGCCCCGAGAGGCCGAAAACCATGAAGAATGTCCGTCTCGACTATTGTCCAGACACTCGATGTCTGGGTATCGTCGTCTTCGTCGTCGTCGTCGCCGTCGTCGCGGCCCGCAGCCGCCGCGCGCCAGGTGGCCATCCCCGCCACGGCGAGGCTCCACAGAGGCCCCCGGTGCCGCGCCCGCCGGGGGCTCTCGCCCTCCGCTGCGGCCCAGGCGCGGCCTGCTGGCCAGCGAGCTGCGCAGAGCCCTCGCGGTGGCATCACCGAGCGCGCTCCACGACCCGCAAAGTGCCGGCTCGCAGACGTCCGAAGAGCAAGCGTCTGCCTCGATGTCATGTATCGTGAATCCCCCACGGCAGCGCGTGGTTTCGAGACGGCCTCGGAGGCCCAAATGGTCCCGAAGAGAGGTGCAAGATGGCCCAGAGATAGCCCAGGACTGCAGCGAACACAAAGCCTAAAGGCCTCTTCAGACACCACGGCGCGAGCTTCCAAACCAAGGACCCGATCATCTGGCCACGGCCCTTCTGACGCGCTATACGCTTGGCCCCATGGCGAGTAGAACTTGAGCACGGGCGCAGTAAAAATCACGACGGGAGGTTTTTGGCCATTTTTGGCTTCTGGGGGCCTTCGCCGGGCCTCGGGAGCTTCCAAAAACGATTCGGGATGAAAAGTTGGCCTTGGGGAAAGGGGGTCGGGACTTCCAGGGGCCGCGCATTGTAATAGTCAAGGCATAGCATGTTTGGGCCCACCTCCTCTCGTGGCAGGTCCCACTTCGATCCGATCGATCCGATTCGATGTCGGTGTTGGCCGGCCGTGTCCGCTTCGAGTCCGATACTCCGACGATCCGATGCGGCCCGAAGCCTGGACGGCGCTCTTGTGCATACTGGCGCAGCCGATCCGACGACGATTTCGATTCGATCCGATATCCCGATTCGATGCTGGCTGACCCTGCCTCGTGCAAAAATCACGGCGGGAGGATTTGGGCAAGTTTCGGCCTCCTGGGGCCTTCACCCGGCTCCAGGGCCATCAAAAACAATTCGGGGCGAAAATCTGGTCCCGGGGCAGCGGTCCAGAGCTCCTGGGGGGCCTCTTGTAGAATCAGGACGCCGGAGTTCTGGGTATAGACGGAGAGGCCGCGTGCGCGCCTGTAGGGCTCTGGGCGGGGAATGGAAACGGCCTTCCCCGCCACAGCCCCGCCTCCTCGGGCATGGCAGAACGTGGTCACCCCGAAGAAAGGATTCGAGAAGGGGATCGACTACAGAATTGTACGTATTTACCGTATTCTCGTAGATTCGACGAGAAAATCAATTTTGGGATAAACCAATTCTGTAGTCGATCCCCGACTCGAGCTCTAGATCTTCGAAGCTCGAGAGCTCCAGGTTTCCGAATGATTTGTTGCCCGGTTTGCGTATCCGAGAGGCCTCTCGCCGCTACGACCAGCAGCCCGCGACATTGCCAGTGGTCGATACTTCGCCTGCGGGCCCAGGGCCCCCTCGCATCGTGACAGCACAACAGGAAAAAACAGACGACGGAGGGTCTCTGCTGATTCTTGGCGTTGCGCGTGTCCCCACCAGGCTGTGTGGGCGCTCTCGGCCCCTGGCCTCGGCATCCACTTTCAGCACAACTTGCAGCTCACGCGAGGTGCCGCTTAGGCAGTTTAGGTTGTCGGCTCGAGTTTGCTGTTGTCAAGTAGTAGGCCCGCGCCCCGGACTTACGACACGCCGTGTGCGCTCTCGCCTGCGGCCGCGACCAAAAAAGTGTCCCCACCAGGTTTCGCCCTCTGAGCCGCAGCGTAGTCCGCTCCTGAGCGCGTAGTGCCTAATTCAGCCCGCTGCTGGTTAGCTGCGCCTCGACTTGACGCCGAGCGATTTGTCGCTACAGTCGCGATCAAAAAGTGTCCCCACCAGCGCATCCAGAAACAATCACCAGGCGAGTTGCCCCGACGAGGGATGTGTGGCGGCATGCGGCCATGCTCTGGGAGCATATTGGGGACATCCTGGGGCCATTTGGGAGGCCTGGGGCCGTTTGGGAACCATCTTGGAGGCCTCGGGGGCGCTCTTGGGCCACATCGATCATAGAAGGGAGAGGCTTCTGAATCCGTAAGGGCTTCGCCCCCTGCCGCCGGCCCCCTCTCTCGGAGAATGGGCCATGGAAGAGCTAAGTCATGAGACTTTGGCGCTGTGGTGCAGCAGTACCGGAACTTCATGCGAGGCCGATTCGCAATCGGCAAAACCAACTGATCACAAGAGGGGTTACCACACAGGGCGATTCGTAAGACGTGTATGGTTTACGAGCTTGGTTACCACACCTTGGGATTAAAGGGCCGAGGGAGTACTCGCAGTTTGGGTTACCACGCCTTGCGATGGATGTGCGTGAGGGGTGGCACCGAATTTCATAAATGTGGCAAATCCCCTGTGTTTTTGGACCCTGACCCCGCGGATCTGCGTGAGGGGTGGCACCGTGAGGGGTGGCACCGAATTTCAGAAATGTGGCAAATCCCTGTGTTTTTGGACCCTGACCCCGCGGATCTGCGTGAGGGGTGGCACCGAATTTCAGAAATGTGGCAAATCCCTGTGTTTTTGGACCCTGACCCCGCGGATCTGCGTGAGGGGTGGCACCGAATTTCAGAAATGTGGCAAATCCCTGTGTTTTTGGACCCTGACCCCGCGGATCTGCGTGAGGGGTGGCACCGAATTTCAGAAATGTGGCAAATCCCTGTGTTTTTGGACCCTGACCCCGCGGATCTGCCCCGCGGATCTGCGTGAGGGGTGGCACCGAATTTCAGAAATGTTGCAAATCCCCTGTGTTTTTGGACCCTGACCCCGCGGATCTGCGTGAGGGGTGGCACCGAATTTCAGAAATGTGGCAAATCCTTTTGTGTTTTTGGACCCTGACCCCGCGGATCTGCGTGAGGGGTGGCACCGAATTTCAAAAATGTGGCAAATCCCCCGTGTTTTTTGACCCTGACCCCGCGGATCTGCGTGAGGGGTGGCACCGAATTTCAAAAGTGTAGCAAATCCCCCGTGTTTTTCAATCCTGACCCCGCGGATCTGCGTGAGGGGTGGCACCGAATTTCAGAAATGTGGCAAATCCTTTGTGTTTTTGGACCCTGACCACGCGGATCTGCGTGAGGGGTGTCGATTTCGAGCCCCCCCAGCAATTCAGACAACGCGCCCAGGGGGTGCTAAAAATTCTGTTTGGGCCTCCCCCCCCCTCGCGCGGTCAACCAGCAAGAAGCAGAACTGTAACACTGGAAACTACAAGCTACAACTGGTACTGGAAACTGCGAACCCGCGCCTCGCAGCCTGGTGGCCCCACAAGGGGGCCGGCGGATTACAACCCCCCCCGCCAGACGCCAAAACATTGCCTCTTGGGGCCAGCTTGGGGCGTTCCTGAACAGTGTATGATAAGGTTTGAGGGAGCGCGCGGTTTTTGAGTAAAGTACAAGCACCTCTCGGGAGCTCGAGTCCAGAGCACATGCTATTGTGACCAGGGGCCCAGCGACACACTTCGATACCGAAGACGTCCCTTGACAAACTGGGGTGAGAGCGTCGAGGTTCGCGCTTCAGCTGAAAGGGCGCACTTGCAACGGGGGATCAACACCGACTACTTCAGAAGCGAACACTCAACAACCAGACAAGCAGTAGCTGTAAACAGATCTGGGGCAACGCTAAGGGGATGCATCGACCACCAATTGCCCATTGACCGCCGAAAGGGGCCCGATGTAACCCCACCCCGCCCAGGAACGTGCCGATTCGCTATCGGGGGCTTATTCCCAATCCATCGGCGATGTATCGCCGATTCCAGCTCGACGTTTCCCCTCTGAGCCTGTCCCCCCCTGACGTCCCCCCTCACGAGAACGCAGCAACCAGACAAGCAGTAGCTTCCACCAGACCTGGGGCAACGTTAGGGGGGGGAGGCTCAGGGGGGTGGATGCATCGACCCTCAACCGCAGATTAAGCTCAACAAACAGACAATCAGTACAGTCAACGCGCCTGGTAAGGACGCGCGCCGTCATCGAGGGCACCCTTTGTGTCCGTGCCTCTGCGGCACATCCCTTGCCGTCTTCACCGGTCGCCCTCCGCCCAAAAACTCCCGACTTCGGCCTCCAGAGGGTCCTGCGCCCCCGGCACCCGTCCCTCCCTCGTCGTCTCGACCCTGCGGCTTCAGGCGCAGACAGGCGGGCACCGCTCGAGCTCTGCCCGCGGCCCACGGAGGCCCGGCACCGCCACCGCAGGCGGGCGGCCCGTCGGGGGCCGGTGCTTCGGCCCCCCTCCCCTCCCGAGGGGCCGTGGCGTCTCCTGGAGGTGCGCCCTCCGCCTGCGCTCCCTCGGGCGGCACGCGCGCGAGCTCCGAGGTCCTCCCCTCCCGCCGTCTGGAGGGGGGGGAGTGCCGGTGCCGCTGCCCTCACCATGGTTTGCGCCTCGCCGGGCCTCCCGGGAGGCCCTCGTCGCGACGGCCGGCTTCGCCTCGAGATCCGGGTCGGAGCGCACCCTGGGAGGGGTGCGGGGAGCAGCGGAGTCGATGCTTGTTTGTCCTTTTTCCTTCCTCCCTCTTGCAGCACCGCACACTTTCCTCCCTCCCCCCTCCGTCTCCCCCATTCTCCGCCCTCCTGCCCCCCCTTCCCGATTCACTCCTGCTCCTCCCCCCTTCCATCCTGCTTCGTCCTTCTTACCCCTCGCCCCCCTTCCTCATCTTCCTTCCCCTCTTCCTTCGCCGGGGCGGGTGAGGAGGAGGAGGGTTCCTTCACAAATACCTACAATCATTCCTTCTCACTGCGTGAAGCGGCTCCTTTGAAACATGAGTACCCGTGGGCCTGCCAGTCTGGCGAGAGCCCGCTTCGAAAAGGGCCTGCCCTCCATCCTTACAGGTACAAGACACGCAAAGAGGTATTAGCACTAAGGCTGATCATCCGTGTGGTTGCTGCGCAACTGTGAAATTTTGGACACGTGTTGAGGAAGTCTCAAGCGAGAGCCCATCCTGAACAGGGGGCGCCTTCCATCCGCGTGACTCGCGCACGGTTTACCAAAACTTGCCATCTGTTCAGACGAATTGTCAGGCGATAGTTTGAAAAAGAGGTGCCATCAAATCCTTGGAACTGTCGGAAGTTGTTAGACGAATGTGCGCTGCGCTCAGGGGGCGGTCACATTGTCACAACGGTCCGCCCTACATCTGTGCAATTGGTGGAAGCGTGTAAGGTGACTGTGCGCGTCGCTGAAGCGAGCGCCACATGCTGAGAGGAACCGCCCTCGATCCGGCTGGAACTTTTACGACGAGCGCGTGCGTTTCGAAGACGACGAGCAACATCCACGAGGATGAGGAGGACGAGGTGAATAAGGACGAGGAGGATGTGAAGGAAGAGGAGGAGGAGGAGAAGGAGGAGGAGGAGAAGGAGGAGGAGGACAACGACGACGACGAAGAGAACGCGAGGGATCACCCGCCCGCGCTCCGTGTAATTGATGGAACTCTGGAGCACCGTTACATCAACAACGTTGAGGAGGCTTGAGGCAAAACGCCTGGACCGACCCGCCAGCACGCCCCGTGGTGCGACGAGGAAGAGATGACGAGAAGATAGAGGAGGAGGAGGAGGAGGAGGAGGAGGAGGAGGAGGAGGAGGAGGAGGAGGAGGACGGAGGAGGAGGAGGAGGAGGAGGAGGAGGCGGAGGAGGAGGAGGAAGGTGGAGAGGGCGAGCGAAAAGGGAGAGGACAGGGAGGAGAAAGATGAGGCGACGGAGCAGGATCAGGAGGAGGCCAGGGAGGAGCAGGACGAGGACGAGGGGGACTCTGAGGGAGGGGGAGGGAGGAGGAGGAGGAGGAGGAGGAGGAGGAGGAGGAGGAGGAGGAGGAGGAGGGAGGAGGAGGAGGAGGAGGGAGGAGAGGGGAGGAGGAGGAGAAGGACAACGACGACAGCAGCCACGACGACGACACCAGACGGTGCGGAGGCGCCCAGCAGCTCTCCGCGCGGTCGCGCCCGCGCGCCCGCCAGAAGCAAGGATTCGCGGCCGGACCGCCCGCATGCAGCTGCGGGACGAGCTGGAGCGGCCCCCGCCGCCAAGGAGGAGGGAGGAGGAGTCCTCTCGGATGCTCCTGCTGTTCCGTGCACCCCAAGCGACCCACACGCGTGTGCGAGGAGACAGGCAAGTTTACATGCCCCCCCGGCCGGACCTGCGGTCTGAACCGCTCGGGAGCCTGAGCCAAGGAGGGAGGAGAGGGAGGAGGAGGAGGAGGAGGAGGAGAAGGAGGAGGTGGAGGAGGAGGAAGAGGGAGAGGAGGATCGGAGAAGAAACAACCGCATAAACAGAGACTTTCGAAGCTCCGCGCGGATTTCTCGGATCTGCGCTGCACCTCCCTAGCGGCGCCTCCGGCGCAGCCCCTGGCGCGCCAGGAAGGGGATCCAGCGCCGATGCAAGAAACCCGCCCAAAGTTGTGAAGGTACTGTTCACGCAGCTGCTTCTTCCCCTCGAAGAGAGGGGGCGGGCAGGGAAGAAGGGAACGGTGGAGGGAGGCGGTCGGAGGAGGAGGAGGTCTTCCCTTGACGCCCTCGCCGCGGGCCCTCCTCCATTTTGAGGCCTTCGAGGGTTCAGGGTTACCCCGAGGATTCCCCAGGATTCCTCGGAGGGCCCCTCAGGATTCTTCACAATCCCCAAGGAGTCCGAGGGATTCTTGATGTCTCCCTCGAACTCCTGGGGGGTCGTCCGGACCCCCGAGGGTTTTTGTTTTTGTCAGGATTCCGGATTCTGGCATATCGGAAGATCTCCGCTATGCTCGGGTCTTTGCACGGCAGGATATACCTCGAAGTTCGGACCAGAGTACCTCCTGGAACATTGCCAACAGCATATGTTCCGACCCAGGCCCCCTCGAGTCGAGAGAGAAACGCGACGGTCAACGCTGCGAACAAACCTCGACGTTGTGGGGAAGTGGGGGGCGGACAGGGCTAAGACGAGGATAAATCAGTTCCAGAGCGTTCCAGAGCGCTCTCAGAGCGTTCCGGCACTCTCTGAGAAGGCCGCGGCGCCCGAGACCTCGGGCTCTCAGAGAATCTCGATTTTTCCTCGTCAGATTTTGTCCTCGTCCTGGCTTTGTCTTGGGAAGAATCGGAGTTCGAGTACTGAGGCTGCCTCGAGTTCGGGCTTCGGGGGCCCGACCTGGGCTCTGGGGTCCGCGTAGATCGGTGCGGGCTGAGAAAGCGGCCAGGATAGCCACAGATCCGACGCTCCAAAAGCATTGGAGCGGCCGGTTTTACCAGTTTTCGGCCTCTGGGGGCCCTCGCCTGGCTTCGGGACCGTCAAACAACGACTCAGGACAAAAAACCTTGGCATCGCTCGGGAGTGTGTGCAGTTTGGGGGGGCGAGGACCATCGAGGAACATCCTGGATCATCGAGCGAAAAATACAAGCACGAAACCGAAAACGCACGGGAGATGGACGTCCGAGCGACGGCGGGAAACCGGCCTTGGGGAAGTGGTCCAGACCTCCGGGGGCCACGCATCAAGACATTGGAGCAGCTGCATGTCTTGCTATTTAGGGGATTTGGGGGAGCCGATTCTGAGCGGGCTTCGAAGACCGAGGATTGAGGATCGAGGATTCAGGATCGAGGATTCAGGATCGAGGATCGAGGATCGAGGATTGAGGATCGAGGGTTGAGGATCGAGGATTGAGGATTGAGGCTCGACGCTCGGTTCGAGGCTCGACAATGGAGGTCTGAGAGTCGAGGTTCGAGTTTCGAGCCGCCCTCGCCCTCGCCGCCGCCGCCGCCACCGCCTGCCCGATCGAGGCTCGAGTTTCGAAGGTTTTAGGGCGCTTGGGCTCTTCTCGCGCCGCGGGGGGCCCCCGCAGCGGCCTCTGGGAGGCCTGCGGATACCCTGGTCCCTCTCATTCTCGTCCTGCCTCCTGCCTCCTGCCTCCTCCTCCTCCTCCTCCTCCTCCTCCTCCTCCTCCTCCTCCTCCTCCTCCTCCTCCTCATCCTCCTCATCCTCAGGGCCGCCATTCCGTTTTCGAGTTGTTTGCACGGCCCGATGCGACTGACCTTTTTGGCAGGCATCCGTGCTTAACCCCACATCTGGGGCGAGACTGGTTGTCGTCCTGGCGCGGCTGCACCAGGGACCGCTGGCCTCGTCGTCCTTGTGTGGGTGGTCGAGTTTTTCCCTGTGGCGAGGGTGCGCCATCTCTTTCTCTCTTCTGCACGGCCCGATGCGGCTGACCCCTTTGGCAGGCATCCGTGCGTTACCCCACATCTGGGGCGAGTCCGTCGGTCGTCCTGGCGCTGGCTGCACCAGGGACTGCGGGCTCGTCGTCCTTTTGTGGGTGGTCGAATCTCTTTTCTTTGCTGGTTGTTCGCTTTCTCGTTGCGCGTGCGTCGTCGTGCACGCGTGTCAGGCACCCCATCTCTGGGGGAAGGTACGCGCACATCTTGGGTGCACCGCCTCATGTTCCGAGCACGGGGATGACTTCATCCTGACCGTGGCTCGGCTGGTGTTGCTGTGGCCTTGAGCGTGGGTTCAGGGCCCCAACATCCCTTTTTATGGCGTTGGGCGCGCATCTCGTGCGTGTGTGCGTTGCTCGTCCCACCGTCCCTACCCTCCACGACTTGGGGCTATCGCGGCTCTCGTGGCAGGGCGCTGTCTCGACCGTCGTCCCTCTTGCACAGCCGAAGGCAGTCGGTACGAGATAGCCCTTCCAGTTGCAGTTTCCCTGCGGTTGGATGTTTTTGCGCTTGCAGCTCGGGGTCGCTGGGGTCATGTGTGCTTGCCCCCTCTCTTAGAGATGTTGCGGCAGGTGCACATCGTGCTTGGGCACCGTCGAGTGGCCCTTGGCCTCGAGCTGACTCTTTGGCGCTGATGATTCAGGCTTTTGGCCTGGGTCAAGATTTGGAAGAGGTCTCAGGCGACTGTGTCGAACTCTGGCACAGTTGACTGCCTCTGTCCTCACAGCTTGCGTGTCCCGCCCTGCCAGCTGGTTGCACTATGCGGTGGATCTGTAGAGGTCAAAAAAACCTCCTCCTCCTCCTCCTCCTCCTCCTCCCTCCTCCTCCTCCTCCTCCTCCTCCTCCTCCTCCTCCTCCTCCTCCTCCTCCTCCTCCCTCCTTCCTCCTCCTCCTCCTCCTCCTCCTCCTCCTCCTCCTCCTCCTCCTCCTCCTCCTCCTCCCTCCTCCTCCTCCTCCTCCTCTCCTCCTCCTCCTCCTCCTCCTCCTCCTCCTCTCCTCCTCCTCCTCCTCCTCCTCCTCCTCCTCCTCCTCCTCCTCCTCCTCCTCCTCCTCCTCCTCCTCCTCCTCCTCCTCCTCCCTCCTCCTCCTCCTCCTCCTCCTCCTCCTCCTTCCTCCTCCTCCTCCTCCTCCTCCTCCTCCTCCTCCTCCTCCTCCTCCTCCTCCTCCTCCTCCTCCTCCTCCTCCTCCGCCTCCTCCTCCTCCTCCTCCTCCTCCTCCTCCTCCTCCTCCTCCTCCTCCTCCTCCTCCTCCTCCTCTCCCCCTCAGTACTATTGTTATTATGTTTAGTACCAGTATCATTATCAGTATTATTACTGATAGTATTAGTATTAGTATTCGTATTGTTATGATTAGTATATCTCCTCCCCCCTTACCACCATCACCATCCTCATCACCAGCATCAGCCCCGCGACCCCCCTGTCTGATGCCTATCGTCGTGTGAGGCTTCTGAGAGGTCCCCCGTTTCTGAGCTGTCTTGCGCCAGGAGCCGACGAGGCTGGTGCATTGGCTGACAGCATGATGCCAAGATCCGTTCCGCCCACGGCCACATAGAGAGCGATGCCCGACCAACCCACACTATTTCTGTCCACTTGGCATCGCTCGGGAGTATGTGCATTTCGGGCGGGGCGAGGACAATCGAGGAACATCCTGGATCATCGAGCGAAAAATACACGCACGAAACCGAAAACGCACGGGAGATGGACGTGCGAGCGACGGCGGGGTCCCGCGCCGTGGGTTGCAGCCCACGAGGTTGTCCGTGAAGCTGTGGGCTTGACCTGCTGTGCGCAGCCGCCCTCGCGGCTCGCGCGCCGCCGCGCCTCCGTGTGTCCGCGGCATTGTCCCGTTGCGGGCGCCCGCTGCGGCGGCCGTCTGAGCGGCGTCGCGCGCCACGCGAGCGATAGACTTGGTGGTGCTGCTGCAGCCGCAGCTGCCGTCGGCCAGGGGGCGCCTGAGTGTGGCCTCGCACGCGCGTGCCGCGGCAGACCATCGCGCGGCTGGCCGCCGTCGTCCGCCAGCGGGCATCAGCTCGTCAAGGTTGGGCCCGTGCATAAACATGCGCTCGGAAATCCGCCGGCCCCCTTGTGGGGCCACCAGGCTGTTGGCCGAAGGTTCGCAGTTTCCTGTACCAGTTGCAGCTTCCAGTTTCCACTGTTACAGTTCTTCTTCTTGCTGCTTACTGTTCCTTGTTGATGGACCGCGAGAGAGGGGGGAGGCCCAAACAGGCAGGTTTAGCACGCCCTGAGCGTATGCTCTGAATTGCTGGGGTGGGTAAAAATTGACACCCCTCACGCAGATCGGCGGGGTCAGGGTCCAAAAGCACAGGTGATTTGCCACATGTTTCAAATTCGGTGGCACCCCTCACGCAGATCGGCGGGGTCAGGGTCCCCAAAAACAGGGGATTGGCCACATTTCTGACATGTGCTGGCACCCCTCACGCAGATCGGCGGGGTCAGTGTCCAAAAACACATGGGATTTGCCACATTTCTGAAATTCGGTGGCACCCCTCATGCAGATCGGCGGGGTCAGGGTCCAAAAAAATCGAGGACTTGCCACATGTTTGAAATTCGATGGCACCCCTCATACAGATCGGCGGGGTCAGGGTTAGAAAACCCATGGGATGTTCAACATGTTTGAAATCCGGTGGGACCCCTCACGCGGATCCGTAGGGTCATGGTCCAAAAGCATTAAGGACTTGCGACATGTTTTAGAATTCGATGGCACCCCTCACGCAGATCGGCGGGGTCAGGGTCCAAAAACACAAGAGATTTGCCACATTTCTGAAATTCGGTGGCACCCTTCACGCAGATCGGCGGGTCAGGGTCCAAAAACACATGCGATTTGCAACATTTCTGAAATCCGATGGCACCCCTCACGCATATCGGCGGGGTCAAGGTCCGAAAACTAAGGGGATGTTCAACATTTCTGAAATTATGTGGCACCCCTCACGCGGATCCGTAGGGTCATGGTCCAAAAACATTTGGGACTTGCCACGTGTTTTTAAATTCGGTGGCACCCCTCACGCAGATCGGCAGGGTCACGACGTCTTATCAGTCGCCAGGTGTGGTAACCCCTCTGGTCATCTACTGGTTTTGCTCATTACGAATTGGCCTCGCATAAAGTTCCGATACTGCTTCACGACAGCGCCCAGGCCTCATGACATAGCTCTTGCATAGCGCATTCTCCGAGAGATGGGGCCGGCGGCAGGGGGCCAAGCCCTTACGGATTTGTGGATGGCCAGTCGGTCCAACGGTTCTGGCGCCATCCGCCTCGGCGCGACACGCTGTCCACTCCACGGCCCCCAGGCCCAGCCTCCCGCACGCGGAGCGAAGCGACACGTTACCCGCTCCCAGGGCATATTGTGTCTCTGGGGCCGCCGCCGCGACACGCTATCCAAAGCTCCCGACCGTATACGTTCGGAGGTCCGCGCGGATTTCTCGACTCTGCGCTGGATCCCTCATTGGCGCGCGGAGCGCGCCAAGAGCTGCGCCAGAGGCGCCACCAGGGGGGCCCAGCACAGATCCGGGAGATCCGCGGGGACCTCCGAAGGTTTATGTTTATGCAGCTGTTCTTCCTCTGCGCATCTTCCCCGGAGCCGAGGCTCGGGGTTCGGGTTCGGGTCCCCTGCCCCTCTCGTCCGTGGCACGGGGGGTGGATTGGGGGGCCTGCTTCCGCGAGGGTAGCCGGGCCTTCCGTGTAGGCTCGGGTTGGGTTCGTTCGGCCCTGGGCGTGGATTCGTGGCCCAGGTTGTATTGGCCAGTGCCTCTTTGAACTTCTAGATCGGTATTAACATCGTCGTCGTCACCACAATTATCATGAGTTCGGGGAGCACCTGAGTGGCGATCGCGCGCAAGATTACAATTCACCTGCGTGCTTATGTTAGAAACGTGCTCCTCCCAGCTCTGTCCAGGGCCGACCTTCTCGAGCAGCATACGTACGCTCATAACCATCACCATCATCATCACGACCAGTATCACCAGTGGTGCGCAAATTGTGGGCCTGCTGCTGGGCGCACGCAGGCCGCTCTAAGCAGCCGTCCCCTATCTTCATTTGACTGGCTCGGACGGACATGTCGTTCCCATTGGAGCGCCCTGCCATCACCACCACCACCGTCATCGTCAACACCAGGAAGAACAATCATCAGCACCATCACCAGCAGCAGCAGCATTATCAGCACCCCTCTCCCGTCATCATCCCTCCTTCCGTCCCCCATCCCTCCCGTCCACCGGCGCGCGAAGCAGCACCAGCCCTTTCCCGCTCACTCACCCGTGCCTGCCTGGCCACAGCGTCGAGTCGCAGGGGAAGGTACATGTCGACCTGGCGGGCGGAAGGCACAGGGCCGATGCCACCGGCACACCTCCCCCCTCTTGGCGAACGAACAACGACGACGAGTACGGCGACGACGTCGCTGACGACGACGACAACGACGACGACGACGACGACGACGACGACGACGACGACGACGACGACGACGACGACGACGACGACGGTGAGAGGGGCAGCCTGCGCTGTCGTAGCCCCAGCCGCAGCGCCGGCGCGCCGGCTGGCATAGCGGCAGCGGCGTCGGAGGCCCCGTTTGTGCTTCGGCGGCCGCGATCGCGGACGTCTGCTTCCGCATCCGAGGCCTGTTCGGGAAAGTGCGCCGCTAGAGAACCCTGAAATTAAAAAGGGGGGGGAGGTCGGACCCCCCACCCTTCAAAGTGGGGGTGAGATTTTCGACCCCACCCCCCCTCTCCCCCCTTTGGCGCCAGACAGAGAGACGGGGAGGGAGCCTCTCCCGCTGCTGCTTTCTGCGCCGGAGAAGGTGGGTAGGGAGTATGGAATAGGGAATAGTGTGTATTAGTAGTGAGTAATGAGTAGTGAGTAGCGAGTAGCGAGTAGTGAATAGTGGGTAGTGAGTGGTCTGTAGTGAATAGTGAGTAGTAGTGAGTATTGAGTAGTGAGTGGTGCGTAGTGTGTAGTGAATAGTAAGTAGTGAGTAATGAGTAGTGAATACTGAGTAGGACTTAGGGAATAAGAAGTAATGAGTAGTGAGTAGTGGGTAGTGAGTAGTCGGTGGTGAGTAGTGAGAAGTGACTAGTGGGTAGTGGGTAGTGCGTAGTGAGTAGTGAGTAGTGAGTAGTGGGTAGTGGGTAGTGAGTCGTGCGTTGTGAGTAGTGAGTAGTGAGTAGAGAGTAGCGACTAGTGAGTAGGGAGTAGTGAGTAGTGAACAGTGAGTAGTGGGTAGTGTGTAGTGAGTAGTTAGTAGTGAGTAGTGAGCTGTGGGTAGTGGGTACTAGGTAGTAAGAAGTGAGTAGCGAGTAGGGAGTAGCAAGTAGAGAGTTGTGAGAAGCGAGCAGCGGGCAGTGAGTAGTGAGTAGTGAGTAGGGAGTAGGCAGCAGTGAGTAGTGAGAAGCGAGTAGGGAGTAGCGAGTAGTGGGTAGTGAAGAGTTAGTAGTGAGTAGTGATTAGTGAGTAGTGATTGGTGAGTAGTGCGGTGTTGGAAATGGGTAGCGAGTAGCGGGTAGTGAGAATTGGGTAGTGAGTAGTGCGTTGTGAGTATTGGTAGTGAGAAGTCGGTGGTGAGTAGTGGGTAGTGAGTGGTGATCAGTGAGTAGTGACTAGTGAGTAGGGAGTTTTGAGTTGTGAGCAGTGATTAGTGAGAAGTGAGCAGTGGGTGGTGTGTAGGGAGTAGTGAGCAACGAGTAGCGAGTAGGGAGTAGTGAGTAGTGAGTAGTGAGTAGTGACGAATGAGTAGTGAGTAGTGAGTAGTGAGTGAGTAGTCAATGTTGAGTAGTGTGTAGCGAGTAGTGAGTAGCAAGTAGTGGGTGGTGACTAGTGAGTACTGAGTAGCGAGTACCGAGTAGGGAGTTGCGAGTGGTGAGTAGTTAGTGGTGAGTAATGAGTAGTGACTGGTGAGTAGTGAGTAGTGACTAGTGACTAGTGATTGGAGAGTCGCGAGTAGTGGCTTGTGATAAGTAAGTAGTGCGTCGTGAGAATTGGGTAGTGAGTAGGGAGTATTGAGTAGCGAGTAGCGAATAGGGAGTAGCAAGTAGTGAGTAGTGCGTAGTGAGTAGTGACTAGTGAGTAGTGAGCAGTGAGTGGTGAGTAGCGACCAGCGCGTAGTGAGTAGTGGCTGGTGAGTGGGGAGAGTCGAGTTGTTAGTAGCGATTCATGAATAGAGAGTAGTGTGTAGTGGGTAACGAGTCGGGAGTAGTGAGTAGAGAGTAGTGATTAGTGAGTAGTGCGTAGTGAGTACTGTATAGGGAGTAGAGAGTAGTGAGTGGTGAGTACTGAGTAGTGACTAGTGAGTAGTGAGTAGGGAGTAGTGATTAGTGAGTAGTGGATAGCGTTTAGTGAGTAGTGAGTAGTGAGCAGTGAGTACAGAGTAGTGAGTAGGGAGTAGTCAGTAGGAAACAGTGAGTAGTGGGTGGTGGGTAGTGTGTAGTGAGTATCGAGTATTGTTTTTAGGTTAGGGTTAGGGGTCGGCCTGAGGGTCTGGGGTTAGGGTGAGAATTAGGGTTAGGGCGGTAGGGGGGGTGGGGGGGGCGGGTTCTGGAGTCAGGGGCGGCGGGGCGAAGAGGGGGGCGGGTCGAATTTCGAGCCCAAAGGGGGTGGGGGTTCTCGACGACGGACCGGGAAAGGGGGGGAGGTTCCCCGACGACAGACCGGGAAAGGGGGGGGGGGAGGGGGGTCCCCGACGACGGACCAGGGAAAGGGGGGGGGTCCCCACCCCCCCCCCCCCCCACGGGGACATCCAGCGCGCGCCCTCCCTGTTAGGTCTCTGGTGCCCGCCCTTTCCCTCCTCCTCCTCCTCCTCCTCCTCTCCTCCTCCTCCTCCTCCTCCTCCTCCTCCTCCTCCTCCTCCTCCTCCTCCTCCTCCTAATGATCCCTTCTCCTCCTCCCTTTTCCTTCCCCTCTTCTTCCTCCCCTCCTCCTCCTCCTACTCCTCCTCCTCTTCCACCCCTCCTCCTCCTCCTCCTTTTTCTCCTCCTCCTCCTCCCCTTTTCCTCCTCCCTTATTTTCTTCCTCCTCCTCCTCCTCCTCCTCCTCCTCCTCCTCCTCCTCCTCCTTCTCCTCCTCCCTGGTCAGTTTCGCATCCCACATCTGCCGTACGTTTCGGCCAGTTTTCCTGCCTCAGGGGTGTGCCACACATGCGCAGTTTCGTCAGGCTCGCGATGTAGCCCGAGCCGCTCTAGCAGTATAAACAGACCACGCTCCTCAAGGCTACGCGCGCTCCTCGCCCCCTCCCTCTCGGGGTCCGCTCGGCGAGCAGAAAACGAATCCCCCATCTCGCATCCGAGGCCTGTGAGGGCTCTGGTTCCCGCTCTTTCCTCCTTCCTCTTTCCTCCTCCTTCCTCCTCCTCCGTCCTCCTCCTCCTCCTCTTCCTCCTCCTTCTCCTCCACCTCCTCCTCCTCTTCCTCTTCCTTTTCCTCCTCCTCCTTCTCGCCCCTCCCCCCCTGGACGCGGCCCGCTCTGCGAACAGAAAACGACTCCCCCTTCCCTCCAGCCCCTGCCCCCTCCCTCCTCTCCCTCCCTCCCCGTCCGCCAGCGCCCGCAGGAGCAGCAGCTATGCGTG